TTTCTGTTAGTGGAGGATGAACAACTCAAAAAAGGAGAGAGACAATGGTTGCACAACTCATAGTATGTTATCAGTGTCACTGAATTGTACATGTAGAAACGGTTGAATTGGTGTATGTTCTCCTGTGTATATTCTCAATAACAACCACAAAAAAAAAAAGACTACAGACTTAATATTGCACCAAAAAAGAGAAAGCCTTTCTATTAATGCAGCCCTTTGATCATAACTTGAATACAATCTACCTTCTTTCTTTCCTTCTTCTCTTCTTTTCTACCACCTTGTTCCACAAAAGAGATTAAGGAATTATAAACAATACATTTATATGGACATTTAAATCAATTAGAAATGGTGGGTCAAAATAAAGTAAACATTATAAAAGCAGGAGTGTGGTCTATGTATGAATTTTATGCCATAAAATCCTACATAGTGGGTTTAAAATCAATTTTATTAAGGTATTATTTATGTATAATAACCTACATTCTTTTACAAATGGGCCATACATTTGGCTCTAAATTTGCTAACAGTTGACACAATGAAGGACTCCTGATTATGTATAAATATTCACAGTGTTAATTCATCAAAAACTAAACCATTGCTTATTAAAAGGACTGGTGGTGCAGTGGTGAAGTGCTTGGCTGCTAATCAAAACGTCAGCAGTTCGAACTCAATCTTTCTCTGTGGGAGAAAGATGTGGCAGTCTGCTTCCATAAAGGTTTACAGCCTTGGAAACTCTATAGGGCAGTTCTACTCTGTCCTATAGGGTCCCTCTGAGTCAAAATTGACTCAATGGCATGGGTGGGTTTTAGAGATATTGCAAACAATGAGAGATTTTTTTCAAGGGTCCTTCTAGAAAGGAAACTATGTAATAAAATTGTATTAACAATCTCTCAATAACTATATGACAGTAAACACAATGATGCGTTTTAGAGGGTGTCTTTTATAAACATGGGTCAATGGCTTGTATACCAAATTGCCATTCAGTACAAGCAATTCTACTTGGGACAGGGGCAGGCGGCATGGGGTTGGTGGCTAACATAATGCCACCCAAGTAGACAGTGTTTGGAGCTTTAACTGAATCTAGGAAGAAGATGTATGATGGATGGAGGTTTATACTTCAGACAATTCTTTACTTGCATTTTTTTTTCCATGAGATATAAAACGGGTCTGAAAGACAGTGAATTTGGGGCTTTTTTCCCAAATAAGTGCCTCATGTGTTGCTATTCTATATTATCAAGACATGATGAGTTGCATGTTTTAACAACAAACAAATACAGATTTTGAGTGATATTCTGCTAAAAATAGAGGCCTATAATACAAATACCAGCCTAAACACAAGACCATTCCATAGGCTGATCTAAACTTCACCTGAGAAATTAATTTTGGGTTTAATGTGTGTTATAGATTGACTTGAATCCCCCAAAAATGTGTGTCAACTTGGCTAGGCCATGATTCCAGGTATTGTGTGATGGTCCACCATTTTGTCATCTGATGTGATTTTCCTGTGTTGTAAATCCTACCTCTGTGATGTTAATGAGGCAGGATTAGTGGCAGTTATGCTAATGAGGCAGGACTCAACCTACAAGATTAGGTTGTATTTTATATCAATCTCTTTTCTGATATAAAAGAAAGAAGCAAGCAGAGACATGGGGACCTCATACCACCAAGAAACAAGAGCCGGGATATTCAGGGTCCCTGTGCTGACAAGTTCCTAGAGCAGGGGAAGACTGATGACAAGGACTTCTCCCCAGATCCGATAAAGAGAGAAAGCCTTTCCCTAGAGCTGGCACTCTGAATTCAGACTTCTAGCCTCCTAGACTATGAGAGAATAAATCTCTGTTTGTTAAAGCCATCCACTTGTGATATTTCTGTTATAGATAACTACGACAATGTGGAATGGAAGCCCCATAGTCATTCACCACAAAAAATAGAGATTTTTAAAGAAGATATAAGCAAGTACTACCCTGGCCTTTTAAAAATATCTTAGGATAGTAACCATTGTACATCTAACTTAGTATAATACTTTTTCATGGTGTGCATTCCAAAATGAACATATTATTCAATCAATCTCTAGATACTTATATTCTCTCTGGATACTTGTATTCCTTATATAAGTTATCTAGAGACTCAATGCATACTTTGCTCATTTTGGAATGAACAGCATGGAGGATATCCCAAAAGCTAGTGGGATCATAGGTGAGTGCAGAAGGTCCTTGTCCTGTGCCTCAAGCCATGATATTGACCAGAGGTTGGCAAACAGTGTGAAGGGCTTTGTGAGTCATGTGATCTTCATTGCAACTACTCAAGTCCACTGTTTCAGAACAAAAGCAGCCATAGACAATATGTAAATGAATGAGTGTGGCTGTGTTTCAAAAACACTGTGTTTATTCTCTCTAAGAGAATATAATTTAAAAGTTGGGGGATATCTACCAAAAATGACAATTGTATAAGAATAATTGTGTTCTCACTCTTCTTTTAAGAAAAACTAAATAGTAGGCCTCATTCTACTAAGACTATGTCATTCGCAAAGGCATGGTTTTGCAGGTAAGAAAACGGAATCTGTATAGTAGGGGAGTATGCATGCAGTTAGTCTGAAATGATCTGGTCAACTTTTCAATCAAGTTAAACAACAGGAGGGTCTGGGAACCCAGTTATGGTGATGATGGAGAGCAAAGGAGGGGTAAAGCAGAAGAGTTTCCTGGGAAATGATTGTCTTAATTTTACTGAATGAGCAACAATAGGTGCTGATTGCTAATGAGCTCATACAATTTAGTCCACACCTGATGGCCATCCACAGAGTGAGAGTCAAGGACAGATCATTAGAAGTCACAAACCATTTTGAACTACTCCTGACGGATTTCTTCACAAGGTATTACATACTAGGCAACTGATCTATAGTTCAAAACAAACAAAAAACTCGAACATATGAACAAATAAAAAACAATGTAAATTTAACTCATAGAAAACACTGCCCTAAGACACTCAAGCACCAAACTGGCACGCATTTTAGATATAATGTCAACTCATTCTATGTGTGTTGGCTTGGGGAAGTGTGCTATTAAAAATTAAATGATATATAAATCATACATATATATAACTTAATTTTTATAGTACTATGGTTGAAGAATTGATAGAGATTAACATATTATCAGAGACCGCTGGGAGGGCCCTAAGTAAGACCTATGTCACAATTATCTCAGTGTTTTAATAACAACATGCATGTTGCCCTTCTGATCCAGTGGAACCTAGGCAGCATAAGGCTATCTTAAACAGTGTGTGGCATCTTGGAGCCTGGAAGGTTGCTTACCAGTGGGTGTAAGGTGCCTCCAGGTGATAACAGGCTCAGGACGACCATTTGCCATGCAGACCAGGGTCACATTGCTGCCCTCATTCACAGTGACATCTGAGGAGATGTTGGAGATCTTTGGTGGAACTGTAAAGAAAAAATAAAGTGGCATACGTAACCATGTCAGTAAAAGCAGGCTTACAGCATTGGTCCATGCAACTGGAAATGGTAAATTTGAGCTAAGTGGCTTTATAGCTTACATAATTTGAATTTTTGTGTTAAGAAGTCTAAGTGCTTTTAAGATCCATGCTTTGCATCTGCTCATCAAATCTCTTAAGGAGACCCTAAAGCGCTGTCATAAAGTGGGCATACTCCTACTTTGGCCATCTGAGTGCTGGAGGAAAGATGTACACAGAGTAGTGTAAGGAAAATTTCTTCACTCCTTTTTGATTAGAATAAACCTTATTTGGATATTAGAGAGCAAGAATATTTATACAAGCTAAGAATAAATTTTTGTTGTCAGTTAAGTTTTGCCTAAATTTATTTTCTTATGTGTATAAAATGAATATAAACCAACCTCTCTTACAAATGCTGGGGGAAGACATCAGTGTTATTTAGTGTAAGATTGCCACATTGGGTTAAGATGTGGCAATCCCTAGTTACTTATAATCTAGTCATATAAGTAAACCAGGGGTTAATTGCTATAATAGAAAGCTTCTAAATAGCATCCTGGTGTGTAACAGAATAGATGCTGTACTTTAGTACCTAAAAATTGAATTAATAAGACCTAAATCACAGAGAGGTCAACATTACAGAAATAGTATTATTACTCCAATACTACCCCTACTAGTACTACTAACAATTTAATAATAGCTAACATTAGTTATCTCTGGAGCCCTGGTGGTGCAGTGGTCAAGAGCTCAGCTGCTAACCAAAAGGTCAGCAGTTTGAATCAACCAGCTGCTCCATGGAAACCCTATGGGGCAGTTCTACTATGTCTTATAGGGTCACTATGAGTGGGTATCAACTGGATGAAAATGGGAACATTAATTAAGCATTTACTATATGCAAGACCCTGTGTAAAGTACTTTACAAGTATTATCTCAATAGCGCCTCATAAAAAGGAAATAAAATCCTGTGAGGGAGGTGCTCTAAATGTTTTCTTTTCCTTTTTTTCACAGGTTGGAGACTCAGGTGTAGAGGAGCTAGGCGAGGGATGGAGCACAGGTTTGAATGCAGGCAGTCTCCAGGGCCTGTGCTTTTAAGCACTACTTGAATAAAACTCCATCTTCACAATCCAGGCTACCAGATGGCCAAAACTGACAGAAATTACTTTTTGGTGATGTGAGAAATGAGTCCCCAAGGGCATGCTGTGCTGCTGCCTGACTTCCCTCATTAATGTTCAGGGTGGCAGCATCAGATCCCACGTTGGCTGGCTTGAGTGGGAAGTGAATTACTTATAAATTTCATCACAGAGGTCATGCACTGATTACAAATAGCAGAGTTTATGGTTTGACTGAGATTTTCTTTTTTAACTCTTAGTTGCTTATGCTGTCCCTGAGAAAGATGTGTCTTGGGAAGGAAAGAGGACAAAATGGTATGAAGGAGTACAATAACAGTGATTCTGTGTGATGACCTGCCATTTATGCCAAGCACAGAGGCAATTGTCTGGCAGTCATAGGATCCCTGCACATCTCTGTTAGGAGGCAATGGTGGCACAAGGGTGAATGGTTCAGTGTCACAAGGAGGAAGGGTGAAGAAGCTCTCATGACCCGCGCCTCCCTCTCACGGTAACATCTTATAGGGCCTCTGGGTAGGTCCTGGTGATTCCAAATCAAACCAAATGATAGAAGCAGAATGTAGCTGATTCTCATTGTTTAGCAATTTCTATTGATAGAGTTTCTAATTTGCCTTTTTTTAAGTTGGAGCTAAGGGTCATTTTCTCATAGTCACACATCAGCTTGCAATATGTTGTCCCAGTCTTCTACAATGAGGGTGTGAAAAAGTCATGCCCATCTTATAGAGGAGAACATGAGGCTCAGAGAGGAATAATGACTTGTCAAGAGTGATCCTACCAAGAAATATGGCTAGCTTAGAATTCAGATCCCCTGAATGTCCACTCGTTTTATTGTTTAAGTTTCAGTTTCTAATTCCCAGCAGAGGAAGTCAGTGTTCTGAGTGTCTCTAAAAATCTATAATGAAATATAAATTAATTATGATGTCCAAGAACAAGATTTAGGTGCCTTCCTACACAATCTAAAACCTATAACATAGGGTGTATATGGTAATATAACACAATATATAATATACAATATATATTGCATACTCTATATTGTATATGTTGTAATACTGTATAATATTTACAAGAGATCCCACTACTCAAGTTGTAGTCACTACTGAATTCCAACACAGGACACAGTATAGAGAGAAGAAATGCAGATAGGTTCTGATTAAGAGAGAAAGAGAGAGAAAGAGGAAAACAAGCAGCAAAAAACTCTGTATCCCTAATACAAAAACATAAGAATTTACAAATCAGAAAATATCACCAATGGTTAAACTCCAGAGAATTATTACCTATGATTCAATTTACTTGCGTTACCTTTCTTTTATAAGAGGGATATATATTAAAGACTTTGTATTTACTTGGCATGCCAGTTAAGGCACTTGTTCAATGTTACATAGACAGGTCCTGATAGAATTGGGTATAAAATCTAGAATAATAGACTCCAGGCCTATCTTCTGGCCACCAAACTATACTGCCTCTCCTACTTATGGACAATATACTAAGGTCCGGTATCTCAGAGACTGTCAAACAGACTTGTAACCATGTTAACTTTGCATCCCACCTTCCTCTGAGTCACTGCCAATGGGTCTTACTCCATGTTTTATTCCTCTGCTTTACTGTATTTTGTGCCAGCTTTTCCCCATAAGTGTGCATATATGATACAGTGTTTCTACTTTAGAAAGAAATACCTTTCCAACTGCGTGTTACCATCTTATTAACTTATAAATTCTCTGTCTTCAAATTTCTTGAGGGAATTGTTCTACACTGTGTCTTAATCTCCAAGTCATCTTCAGTCTTTATTGAAATCAGCTTCTTCCCTTAACCTTCGAAGAAACTCGTCTCAGAAGCATCCAATGGACACTTTTTGTTATTGTCCTTTTTTCTAAAGTATTTGACTCTGTTCACTACAACCTCATCTTCCAATCCTTTCTTTTCTTGGTTTCTATGACACCAAACTCAACTCATTTTCCTCTTACACCTCTGGCCAGCCTTCCCAGTTTAACTTTTGGGCTCATCATGTCCCGGTCCTTGAATATCTGTATTTCCTAGGGTTCTATCACTGTCCTCTTTCTTCATCTCAATCCACACATTAATTACGAGTGATCTTATCCACTCTCTAGCTTCAGATGCTATAGCTATGTTATTGATGACTCTCAAGTCAATATCTCCAGCCCCGACTTTCCTGATGACCTTCATACTTACATTTCTAATTGGCTATTCTACATCTTCATTGAATTCCTCACAGATATCCAAGAAAGATTCAACACTCTCAAAACTGAATTCATCATTGTCCTTCCCTGAAAACTCTTGTAGTATTGTGTCCACTATTTTAGTAAATGGTGTCACCATGCAAACAGTTGCACAAGCAAAAAAAGAAACAACAACAAGGCATCTCCCCTGGTTGCTCTCTTCGATGCTCCCTATATAAAACCAATTGTCAAGTTCTGTAGCTCAAGCTTCTGAAATATTTCTCCCATTCAGTCATTATTATTATTATTTTTTTATTGTACTTTAGGTGAAGGTTTACAGAACAAATTGTTTCTCATTAAACAGTCAGTACACATATTGTTTTATGACTAGTTAACAACCCCACAACATGTCAACACTCTCCCTTCTCGACCTTGGAGGACCTTTTTTTTTTTTTGGTGAAAATATACATAGCCAAAGATACACCATTTCAGAAATTTCTACATGTACAACTCAGTGACATCGACTACATTCTTCCAGATGTGCTGCTATTCTCACTATCCTTTTCCAAATTATTCCATGACCATTATCTTCAACTCACTGTCCCCTAGTCTTCCCATCAAACCTTCTGATGTGCTGTTGTCTCAGTCATTATTTTTGATCTCTACTCCTACTAACTTTGTTCCATCCCTCAGTACATTTTTTTTGCCTGAATTATGGCAAAATAATTAAACTGGTTTGTTTGCCTGTAGCATTCCTTTCCCCATGCTCACCGCATTCATTCACCACCCTGCAATCAGAATGTTTTCCCTACATTGAAAATGTGAGTATAGTGCCCCCTGATTGATCTCATTGCCCTCAAAATAAAATCCAAACTTCTTAATATGGCTTAATAGGTCAATCATGATTGAACTCTGTTTATCTCTCTGCCTCATTTCCTACTCACTTTGCATTGCATCACCCAGTCATATCAAACAACTTTTGGTTCCTGTACTGTGCTATCCCCTTTTCTTGCTCCTGAGTATTTAACATTCTATTTTTTCTACTTGGAATATTCTTCCTTCAACTATTTATGAGATTAACCTCTTTCTCCCTTCAGGTTTCAGCTTGTCAGCTTCTCACTTTTTCCAGTAAGGTTTTCCTGTCTTCCTCCCCCTCCTCCCCTCCCCCTCTCCCTGTGCCTCTGGCTCCATATTGGATGAAGTACCCCTCTTGGGTTCTCAGATCATGCCCTGGATTTCCCAACTGTGTGTACGCGTGCACACACACACACACACACACACACACACACACACACACACACATTTTTTATTAGTCTAATGATCTAATAAGCTTCTCCCTAGTTTCCTGTAGCAAATCACTGATTTAAATTCAGATACTCACTGATAGTATAACATCAAGGTGACAATTCACATTTTTTATTGTATTAACTCGAAAACTTGTGGGAAGTAAAGATAGGTATTATTATTACTACCATTTTCAGATGTGGACATAGGGAACAAAATGGATAAAAATCACACAGCTGGTGAAAAATTGAGCAAGGACTATAACTGACAATTTGTAGTTTTCTCAAACATCACTCTTCCCTAGATCATATTCACTTCTGTGAAAGTGGTGCTAAATAGCATTTTTTATTCTGTTTTAATTCTAGTAAGGATGACTACCTAAGAAATAA